CAAAAATAGTCGGAACAAAAAACTTCAAAATTGTAATAAATGAAATTCACTGTAATAGTAAATTTAAAAATTCAAAGAAATGTTGCTTCTATATAGCTTTCCTTTGTAAAGAAATCGATGTAGATGTATTTTTTTTTCCATTTAGTGGTTACCGTACCAATTGAGGAAAAGTTTTCGCATTTGCTTATTCCTTTTGAAAATCAACCTTGCAGCTGAACGGTCTATCGTGATAAACAAACGTTCCCGAACGAAATGTGATTGATACGAGAGCACTGCTGTAGTTTTAACAGGTTTCAGTGGAACTTTAGGCACACAAAAATCCAATAAAGAGCTCTCTTAAATCACGATATTTTCCGCAATCTCGTAAAAAAATCATATTTCGGTTAAACACCTGCAATCGCGTTTTATGTAATCCATTGTTCGGGTTATTAAATCACAATCGTCGGGTAGGTGCAGGATTGCGCTCTATGCAACTTAAAATTATCGAATCCGGAGTACTTGTAAATGATATATCGATTTATCTGGAATCCACACAAAGGAACTAATTCCATAATGGACCCCATTCTAATGTGTTGTACTCCATACACATACATATATACGTATTCCTGTTTTGTGTTAAAAGGATTCGTGTGATATTCGTATTTTAAAGAACAGTTTATGAGTAATATAAAAATCCAATAGGTGCTGATATGTTTCCTTAAATCCCCGAAAGAATTACATTCATTTCTAACTGCCGACATTAAAATTTTCATGCACGATACAATTTCTCAAATTTTTATGCTCAGTTTAAACCACTGTGCAAGGAAATGCAATAATATCGTATTTTCGACGGTTAGAGTTTCTGAAAAGTTCACGGTAAGAAAGTTACGAAAGAAGCAGCATCTATAAAAGTTGTATTACGTATAATATAAAGTGCACTACGCCATAAAGGCCGTAATTGACATCGGAGGTATAAAACTTGGGCATATTACACTGGTTACCTCAACAAGATGTAAAACATGAGGTGATTCTGGGTCCTCTGATTTTACATCCGAATAAGGAATGCTGACAGTGGTGAAACAATACGCTATGGAATTAAAGAAATAACTAGGTGCTGTTGAGACAACGCGAACTGAATTATGTAGTCATAGTACGTTGCGCTAGGAAATGACACTAATTTTCTCCAAGTGCATATTCAAAATGGAATGGAGCGAAGGTGGAATTAGATATAAAAAACTGTAGAAATATTGTCATAATTGTATGGCTGTAATAAACAAGTACCATTAAACTAGAAAACTCGGTCAAGTTTCTTCTACTACTAGAGGGTCCTAAAACAAGGGTTTCATCTTAAATATTTTGCTTTGTTTAGAAGCAGGAGGGAAATACGTAATTTTTTTTTATCAATTATATTTATTTCTCGATTTGTTTCTTGTTATACCCGGAAAGTACAACGAATTAATGAATAAAGACACTATTATTAAAAAAACAATAAGCACAATTTAGAGATAACATAAATAAAATGTAGTATACTTATGGTAATATAATAATGGAAATTGTAATCGAACAAATAAAGCAACCGATACACTTTTGATCAATTAAAAGGTCAAACTATTGACTAAATCTCACAAATGTGATGAATATTTTTCATTGATTTGAAATATTTTAGCCCAATTATAATACAGTTTGTTGTACAGAATCTTAAAAATGAAATTAAATTTGCCACAAAACCTCAACTAAAGCCGTTGACTGCCTGCAGCTTGATAGTATATCAATTGTTAATATTATCTCAGAAAGGATTAAAACCAAAATTGGTTGTAAACAATTTTACTATACCTTTATATATATATTTATTGTAAGCTACATCTGTTGCCTTGGCAAAGTCTCTTAACTAGAGGCGAAACGTAGATGTTTGTTTTACATCAATAAAATAATTTACAACCCTATTTTGGCTCTGATTTTTTACAGACTGTGATAAAGGGAAGAAATGAAATGTATTACCTCTTGGTTTTATGATTACCTACAGTAAATACTAAAGAACGTCTAGGGTAGTTTTATTATTCCCTGTGATTATTACAATGTACGTTGCTCTTCTAAAATGCAATACAAATTTGTTCCATTATATTCACAACCGTTGTCCACAATGAGGAAGTTCCATTTTATAACATTTGTTGACCAATAAAAGCTTTCTACACACGGCTCAGCATGCATTATGAGCTTCAATTATGTTGGTACTTCGTAAATTAAAGTTTATACTCAGAATGATTAAAATTCGGTTTACTACCCTAGCTAACTTTACTTCATAACATAATTACGTATACTTTCTGTTAAAATTTTTAGTTTAATTTGCCACTCGATGTTAGCCTAGAAGTTCAGTACTCACATTATCCAACATATACGTACCATACATAGCTCTCTAACGCATAAGCACTGAAACATGATATGCATTATATGCAACAGTAATTTCGCCAAAGTTTGCTATTACGTTAACTTGTTGTTTTGCGTTTTATTCGTAAGGACTTGATGATCATAAATGAATTTAATTAAACTAATAGACTACCAGGAAACCTATCCTTCTTGAAAACAAAAAAAGCAGGAAGAAAATCCATAAAGTTTAAAAAGTGGGAAGCAGTCTATAGAAATATTACTTAAAAATAAACGATAAATTCAGCCAGAACAGGCAGGAAAGAAAAGAAAACCGTGGGTAACTGATAAGGATACGTTACATAGACTTCAAGAAAATGAAAGTGACTTTGCGAAACGGTTGCTGGAAGAATGTGACATCATGGAGAAAGAACAAGAAACATTAGATGGGATAAAAAGCAGCAAGATCAGGATTATATATGTGCTAAGTACAATGAAAGAAGAAAAAAAATGAAGGGCAAGGCAAATAATTAAGTAAGTAAGTAAGTAAGTAGAAAAAGAACAGCGAGGCGTAAATTTATATACTTGATACAAGCCAAAGTGATTGCATCATTACAGGGGAAAGATGATGCCAATGCAATTAATATTATCTAGGCAGAAACATTTAACACAGCAATACATGGAAGATCCAATGACTGCTGGTGTAACGGAGATTTCGCGATTTCAAGAATTATTTTCGATAAATGTGTGGTCTGAAATTTTTAGACATTCCACTTCTTTGATAAGTTTACTTACAATAACCAGCAAAAAGGTAAGGAGCCTTGACAACACTTAATAATAAAATTACAATTATCTAGGTGATGTTCATTTAAGTTAAACTTTTTCTTTCTCTTCTATTCCTACATTTACATAGTGCTACCTGTAACGTACTTATTTAATTTATTTAGTCTAAACATTACGCTATTTTTATAGATACCTATATTACCAATTTACGCACAGAACCGGCTTCGGATTGTAAATTTGCTGATTTTCTTAAGAAAATGTTTGTCCTTAACCACAATGCTGAACTCACCCTGCGATTATTTATCCAAAACTCGGCACCTATTTCTGTTACACTCAGTGTAGTACTTTACTAGAGTTTACTTCATTCGTTTGAAATATTAACCAGTTTTAATTGATAAAGGTCAACAAATTATTCTTAATTAATAAATGAGTAAATTTAATTAAGGAGGAGTAGGTAAGCGGCAAAATAGATATATCCCTGTTTCATCTCAATGCTAAGCTAATTAATTAGAAAGAAACACGAAATTCTTTATCTAACATCGTACCTTTGAATTATTATTTATTGAAGGTTTTTAGACCTTTGCTAATTACTTCTATTCAGCCCTTCGAAAACGTTCTTTAATGAGAACTTGAGATAAAATTCAATGTTATCCGTCATTGTTGAAGTAGAAAAATTAAAAGTTAATTGAACGAACCCCTGCAAACGTATTATTGTTACTAGATGTGTAGAGTAGACATTTATTGTTACTCTTATTAAAAGAAAAACAAATTGAAAGATATTTAAGAATAAGAAAGTTGTTTTCAATGAATACTACACAATACAGAATTATTGTTATTTTAATTATTGATTGAAAGAGTACCTACTAGAAATTCGATAATTTAAACATTGGTAATGTAAAATCCTCTAATTTTCGAAAAGAAGTTTTGTTGATGTCTGCTGCTAGTTCCCTACTATTAATTCAGTAATAACCATACATGAAACTTCATTAATTATAGTAAAATATGTTTTTCAAATCTCCCTATGTTAAATTCTTATTACCCGTTTTCTAAATGCTAACTAATATTATAAATGCGAATTTGTTTGTCTGTTTGTCCACTTTTCACGCCCTAACTACTCAACCGATGGTCATGAAATTTTGTAGACAGATTGGCAGAGGTACAATAAAGGATATAGGGTTCCTTTTATACAGAAAATAAACTAACTAATATTATAAATGCGAATTTGTTTGTCTGTTTGTCCACTTTTCACGCCCTAACTACTCAACCGATGGTCATGAAATTTTGTAGACAGATTGGCAGAGGTACAATAAAGGATATAGGGTTCCTTTTATACAGAAAATAAATACTATTCCCGAAGGATAGAAAAGTTAGTTTTATGTGGTCGATTTTATACCTTAACTACTTAATCGATCGTCAAGAAATTTTATAGACGCATGCCAGGGGTACCGAAAAGTACTTAGGGTACCTTTTATCCAAAAAATAAATACTAATCCCGAAGGATAGAAAAATTAGTTCAATGTAGTCGATTTCACGCCTTCACTACTCAATCGATCATCATGAAATTTTATAGACACATTGCCAGGGGTACCTAAAAGGACATAGGGTAACATTTATCCAGAAAGTAAATACTATTCCCGAGGGATGGAAAAAATGAATTTTATGTGGTCGTGGATGATCTTTGACACCTATTTAGGACATCACCGCGAGTGAAGTCGCGGTAAAATCTGCGAAATTTCTGTAAAATTTCTATAGATCTGTGGTTCTACTGAAATTAAATATCCTCACCAACCGATGACGTTTAAATAAGAATCAAAAAGTCTAAAAACATTAAAACATCAATTGTTTTGTTGTTCTTTGTCAAAAAACAAAAGACTTACCAAAACGTAAACGGCGAAAGGCATAACCACAACTGCAACTAAGAGGTCAGCTAATGCCAAGCTAACGATAAAGTAATTGGTGATAGTTTGCAAAGTTCGTTCCCTATAAACACTCAAAATAACAAGAACATTCCCGAACAAAGTAAAAATTGGAAAGACGACAAGTAACAGTGCCCAATAGTTGTACTCGCGTAGCTCAGTTCGATAAGCACAACTGTCATTAACGATTTGAGAACAGTTCAGCAACTGGTGGTCCAAAGACGTCTTGATTTCACTGTCGTTTCCGCTGTAATTCACACGGTTCAAATACTGATCGACGTCGTCGAAGAGAAACAAGAATTCCGTGGAACTGTTGAACAACATTTCGCCAACATCTTTGATGGTTGAAGTCTGAGGATTACTGCCATCAACTCTGATGGGGATGCCGGTGGAATTATCGGCATCCATGGTCGTGATCGAGGATCGGAACAAGACGTGATCTACCTGGATATGTCCCAGAATTCTTTCATTCTTGTACGTAAAGGAAAAGTTTTTTTATTATTATTATTACTGGTTAATACGATCAGTTCGCGAATTCTTTGTGCAAAAAAGTCGTGTTGGAGCAATTTCCTTCATTCTTTTTCGATTTCCTGCGATACCGGTTTCACATTTTCAACCACATTCCAGAATTAATTTCCGCCAGAAACACTTCAAAGAGACGGAGATGGTTTAAAGACATGCCGATGCCGTTGCCGAAAATAGTCGATTTTGAAAAAGAACTCCATACAATGTCAACGTCGTCATCTCGTTGTAGTTTGTGTTTGTCCGCGAAGACAGGACGAGACTGCGACGCCGAATAAAGACGCGACTTGCGAGGGTTGTACGGTATGGCGAACGTGCGCCCAAGGGTAGCGTCGACGCTGATCTGCGTCTGAACGCCGTTCAAAGAGCGGTCGCTACTCGACCTGGCATGTGTGCCGTTCGTTATGCTATAAAGATCGTTTAAAATTATCTTCGATAAACTCTTTAAAATCGACGGTACACTGTTACATTCTTGTCATCATAATCATAAGTTCGTCAGTTCTAAGACTGGTTGTACACACACCTCCACTCTTTCCTGTTCCGAGCTAATCTTCGCATTTCCCTAAAACGAGAACAACCCATATCCTTAACTAGTAATGTAATCTAGGTCTACCTCTACCCCTTTTAATTCCCGTTTCTGCCTGTAATATATCTCTGACTAGACCTTCATGCCTAAGAAAGTGTCCTACCCAACCTATCTCGTCTATTTCTTATTGATTTCCGTTGAGTTCTCTGTTCTCCTGTTCTTTGTAATATTTCAGTTCTAACCTTCTCTATCCGCAATATCCTCATCTTTCGCCTATTGCACCACATTTCGAACGCTTGTAACCTTTTTTTCCGCCGCGCCCAGTGTCCATGTTTCGCATCCGTACATCACCGCGCTCTAAACTCCACCTTTAACTTATTGCTTTAGCCCATAATTGTTTGTACTTATTTTTTATTATTTAGAAGAAATGGAACTTTGTCATTTTGTTAAATTTTATAAAAGTCGGAAATTTAATTAGTCTGTCTCTTTTGCACTTGAGATTTATATTAAGCTATCCTGTTGTCAAGATAAACCTGAGGATCATAATAATAGCGACACGTAGCGGGAGAAAATAGTAAAAATCTTCTCCATTCGCCGGAATGTTCTGTCTCTATTTGAATATTAGATAAACTTACTCTTTAGGTCTTTACGAAATGGTGTGCTGATGAGATGTAATATGATCGAAATCGCGATCTGCGTGTGGCAGTTTTAAAAAATTTCGGATCAAAAACTTAAGCGTTCTAGAAATCCTATTCTTTTTATAATGTACATTTTAATAATTTCTAAAATAAGATAGTACAATACTTTGGTGCAAATTTCTGTCAATTTTTCTACCTCCCCATATTTTTACCTTGAACCGACCTCCGCATATACAGAAAACTAGAGCAGTCTACTGGTAACCCAAAACGTTCACAAACATAAAAATTACACATTTCTTTGTCGGCATTTTTCCTCTTTTATGTAGCACAAGCGAAAATGCATAATTTGATGAACATGTGGAATATATTTTTTCAACCTCTCTACCTGAAAATATCTCGTGCTTCTCTGAAAACTAACCGAGGTCTCAAAATCCTTTGAATACAACGTAACATACCTCCAAAAGTTTAAATTACATTTACTGGACTTATATTTTATAAATAAAGGTTACATTCACAATAATGTGAAACATAAGACAATTAGAGGGAACTAATGCGATTATTGAAAACTTTTTACAAAAAAATATTATTAATACGTAGTTATCAATAGATTTGAATAGTGGGTCATTGATGAAACTAAGAGGATTATATAACTTCGTCCTTTTTCAGAAAAAGTTTCCTAAAGTCCTTGGTGCACTTTCATTTGTAAAAACATCAAATAGGTACACTAAGTGTTGCAAAATGAAATAGAAAAATTGTGCACAATAAAATTCGGGTTATTAAAAATCCCAGCTTACCAAAATCGTGAGGGTCCTCGACGTCCCTGCTATCTGAAAAGAAAAAACTTCTTTAGTAAAACAATTTTTCAATTTTCATAGAACAAAGTTTGATTTAATAATTCAATATTCTCTTAAATTAGCTGTTACATTTTATTTCGGTGTTGTACCTACTGTGCCTTCTGTATTCGTATTAGTTACGGCATCTTACATCGAATTATACTTCATTTACTTTCTGTAGCGATGTGCCCCTTCCAATGTCTTGGATGCGCGCTGACAAAATCATAGGTAGGGAGAAAAAAGCTCATTATACTCTCGACTCTTGTACATTAAACATACTTTTTCATACAGTACCTGCCAAAAGTTATGAATAATAGCGCGAGTCGAAAACAAGTGTTAAAGCCTTTAATATGTCTTCAAATATAAATAAACATCACATTGATATTTTCAGTAGTAAATGGTACCAATAACAGCACATTTGAGCAATGAAATTGTAGTGGATAAAATGGTCAATTTTTCCGTGTAATACTGTACAGATTATACGTTCCTCACCCTTCCTTTTCTGGCCTAGTGCTGTTCTTTTCTACTTTGCGCCGATCAAACTGAAGGTCACATCGTTACAGAAATTAAACGAAATATACTTAAATATACGACCCATTTCTTTGGAAGATATATATGTACCTTATACCTATATTTTGAAAAACAGAATTATACTTACCGCGCAGGTAAATAATACTAAGCGAATTAAATATTGAAAACGAAATAATCGAAAGAGCGACAATGCAATTATACTTGACATCTCAAGCACCACATTACGCGATCCATCAAAAAAGAAATGGGAACGTCAAATTAAATACCTGCGTATTTCCTTTTAAATTAAATTTCAATTTTGGCTTAATGTAAATGATTTTCCTTGAAAAACCTTATTCGTGGTTCGGTAATAATCAGCGGAATTCTGCTGTAAAAATTCCAACCTAAAGACAATAGTAAGGATGGGGTAAGAAAACAGGACCAGGATAATCATTATCTAAATTGTATTGTATTGTAAAGATATTAGAAATACTAATTTTATGAAGATAAATGATGTAAATATGAAATTTAATACCCACAAAAAGGAAACGATTAATAAATAATAATTAAGTACAGCGTTTNTAGCGATGTTGTAGAATAAACTCCAACGACAAGATACGACACTATAAATGTTCCAAATACTTTTCAGCAACAAATTTACATTCTTTACAGCTTGAAGAAAACTCAGCCCACGAAGAAGGCAACTGTTACGGAAAAGGAATTCGAACATTTGCTAGTGTTGTTAATAAATATACACAATTTGTAGTTATTCTCCCTATTAAACTAGATAGCTAACCATAACAGAAAGTTGTTTATTTTCTAAGACTATGCTTTGTATGGCGCCCGCTTGGTATGATGTGTTTGTCACTTCAATATCTTTATAAGCGAATTCTGTTGTTTCTAGTAAAAGATACTGCATATACCTACCACCATTAATAGCCACCAACTTGTATATTTTAGGTATCATATTTCCAGATATACCTTTCTATATAACAATCTACTATTTGTATTGATAGTTCTGTACTATTTACAAATTTACATATTATTTTAAATCAATGGATTATAAGATAAAATTACTTTAGTATGCGGTCTTCTTCTGACTTGAGATCTACTTGTACTTTAATATGTCGCCTGCACCTGCACTTGCACGTAATTATTTATGAAGTTAATCGGAATCATGAGTTTACGGAAGGAACAGGAACAGACATGAAGCACCCGAGTGTAACTTTTACACTTATCCTGTATTTTATTTTCTACTCAATTCCCACATTTTTGCATTTTGCAAACAACAACGTATGCTTTCCTGTAAATGATACCCACATAAATTCCTGTTACCTAGATGGACACGTGTCTCTTCAGCTGGTACAAATATTCGAATGTTCTACATATCCATTCGATATGTAGGTACGCGAATTCGTCCATTATTGGTGAATAAAACATCACTTCATCGTTTCCAAATTCTCCTGTCGTTTTGGAGCACATCTCATGTTCTCTAATCGCTTCGAACAAGCTCTCTGATGCTGCACGATCATGAAAAGACTTGTAAAGGACACGATACGAAACGAACTACGTTTCTACACTCGGCAGCAGAATTCATGGTACAGCAAAGTGCAACAAGAAGATAAAGTAATGTTGAACGCTAGTCAATTTAACAGAGGACAAAAATATCATATTTTGTACTTATTCGCGGGTAGGTCAAAGGTCAAAGCTCATGTATTGAAAGTTCTGGTCCACGCGCTTGTTTGCTTTTTACTTTACCCGATATAACGTAAAAATTTCAAACCATTTTCATTTAATGATACAAAAATATCTATTACTTTGTCGAGAGCTTTTACCATTTGTCTCTCGATAACGTGAGTACTAAATTATTTACCCTAAAAAAAATCTCAGTCGAGGGATGGTGAAATAGCGTACGTACTCGGGGAGGAAATAAGCGTGCGGTAGGAAACGTTTTTTACTTTTCACTTATTACTTATCACTAGAGGCGTCTTTACTTAAACGTACATACAGTGGATTCAATTTATTACGACCTTGGTTATAGCGAGAATTTTACTATAGCGACGTTAAATCTTGAATTTAAAGCATACTTTAGTACAAAATTCATGTGGCTATAGCGACTTCGGATGTAACGTCGAGTCCGGGTGTAGCAACTATTTTCAATGAATCATTTGTACATGTGTCTGTATCTCTTTACCTTTGCCTGTAACGACTTCCGGATATAACGACGAAATTACAGTGGTCCTTTCGTCACACAGTATATACATATATGGAACTTAAAATGTACAACGATGTGGACCACTCTTGACTTTTGCAAACAAAAGGATTGAATACGCCCCTGTTACATATCTTTTACTAAAAGTTTTCAGCTTAAGATAACCAAATAAAATGCGAAAGTCAATTAAAAAAATAATGAATAAAAATAAAAAGTCTTAATAGACCTACGTAGAGGTGAGAATTGTGACATAATCCGCTCTCGTTATATTTTAGGGTATGAGGCGCCATGCTGGACCATTTAATCTTGTAACAGTTGCTCAAGTCATGGGTCACAACCTGAACATTTTAAAAACAAATTTTAACGGTAGCCTGGAAAAATTGAAGTTATTATTTCCAACAGGATAACGATCCCATGCATATGCTCTACACTATTCGATTATGGATGTTATATAGCATCCCCCATGTACGTTCAACGTCACGTGAAAGCC